ATAAGAACAACAAATAAGTAAAGTTTAAACAAAATCGGTGACAAAAATTTTTTCACCTGGTACACTTGGCAAATTTTGCCCCATATGCTGCACGGTGCTGTTCTGAGAGGTGATTTTTGGACTTTCTGTGAAACCTAATTTTTTTTTATATTCTTGTTAATTAGGTCATAACTAAAATTTTAAGAGCAAAATAAAAAAAAATTGACGGTTAGTTTTGTTTTAATTGGTTGTTTATTAAAAATATGTATGCACACTTTCAATTCTCCAATTAAAACTTGCGATTTTATTTAAATATTATCATAACTTTTTAAATCAGATTAAAGATTAGTTAATTTCCTAAAAAAGGTCTATACATTTTTTATATCTTTTACTGTTTTGTTGTAATACACGTTTAAAGTTTTAATTTAAGGTTAAATGTATAGTATACATTTATTAAACAATAATTCTAAGGGTGCCACATTTTATTTAGGGCCGATTTATTCATTTTTGATTTATTTGACGAATAATTTCTTTGGATACTAGATATTGCCAAGACATGAAAGTTATCGGCCCGATAAACTTTGCTAAAGATGAATAAACCGGTCCTTAGTTAAATTTCATGAATTTCTTTGTAACTTTTACTACAATTTTTCATTTTTGTTTATAAAAAACACTTTAAAAAACTAAACAAAAATTATAGAATACGTATACTGAAAATGACAATTCAAACGTCAAATAAATTTTTAATAGATCTAAGTTTCATGGCAACCTTTAAGAATATATTAATTAAGGGAACATAAATGTATACGTCAAAGGTTAGATTAAAAGTTTGAACGTTTATTGCAACAAAATAGTAAAATATATAAAAAAAATTGTAAAAACCTTTTTTTAGTTATGCAAATATTAAATATTTAAATTAAATCGCTAGTTTTAATTGGATAATTGAAAGAGTGCATAATATTTTTAATAAACAGCCAATTAAAACAATTCAAACCGTCAAATTTTTTTTATTTTGCTCTTAAAATTTTAGTTATGAGCTAATTAACAAGAATATAAAAAAAATTAGGTTTCACAGAAAGTCCAAAATTCACCTCTCAGAACAGCACCGTGGCTGTTATATTTGATAGTTTTCAAAAATGGTGGATGCGCCGGGATAATAAACAAATTATTAAAATGAAATTTATATTCGTGCCACTATTTTCTTATTTATTTTGGCCTGCTAAACTCTAAAATTACAATGCATTTTATTATTTACTTTTTGAAGAAATTGTAAAGCTGCATTCAAAAAACAAATAATAAAAATTCAAATCTCGAAAACCTTTTTCTTTGTTAAAACAAAATTTGTATCATTTTGCAACTTTGTTATTTATAATACAATTATTGGATTAAACAACTGTGTTTTCTTAACGTTTTCACCTATAACAAGAAACTGCTTTTATTACTGATGCTCTATCTAAAACACTCCGTATTTTTCAAATTTTAAAAACACACGTGTGGTTACAATATTATTATTGTATGCCCACAAGTATAGTATGATGTATTATTGCTTTTATGGTTTTGAACTTGAACTTTTCTAATAAGAAATATTTTTATTTTCACAATGTAAAAATAATTGTTTGTAAACAAATAGCTGTTATAATAAAGCCTTCATTTTGACGCAAATAAGCCAAGATTAATACAATTTAATCTCCATTATGTAACATTAACTGCAAGGGCAAGTCACATTTGACACCATAGCCAAAAAATATTATTAATCATTTACCAAAAATAATACAATCTTTAAACTTATTGATCTGTACGTTTATAAAAATATTCTACAAACATAATTTAAATATTTTATATGTGCTAATGAACAAGTTAATTAAAACAGATGCGTTGACGGTACCCATTAACATTAATATTTAAATTGTAGCAACAAAGCCTGCTTAAAATTCATTTATTAGAAATAAACAACCCGGGTTGATGAGATTCATACAAAGCTTTACTGTAAAAGCTTTATATACTTTACTAATTTATAAATACCTTTGAGCTGTTTTAAATTTATAATTTTGTTAAATCTTTTTTAAAATGTATATGGTAAAATATGTACTAATAAAATTTGGATTTAACTGGTTTTAATATCAAACATTTTAAAATTAAAAAGCGTTATATTTGATAAAATATTTTTTTAAAGCTGTTTTTATTTACTATTTTATTATCTTGGCAAAAAACTATAAACAAATTCGAAGGAAACAAGTTTTGTATATACAGGGTGTTGCTCAAAATGACTTAATAAAGGTTAGAGATCTTATCAAATAAATAATTTTCATTTGAGATTTTGTTTTTTAATTATCGACATTCGTTTATTTTTATCTTTATCTTTGTTGGTTAATATTTTTAATTAAAAAATTTAAACTAAAATTTTTAAAATAAATACGACCTTAAGTATCAGAGATAAAAAGTTTATGTAAAAACAAAAGGTTGTCGATAATTTCAAAAGCCCAAATTAAAAATATTTATTGGAAAAAAGGTTAGTCTCAATAGATTTACAACCTCTATGGAATTATCGATCATTTGTTTTTACATATTTAATCCTCTTTAAAAATGTTTTTCACAAAAATTATGGATATTAAACTGACAATATCAATTTTTTTTTAAATCTGGCCCTAAATAATAGAGATAAAAGTTTTAAGCATACAAAAGAAAAATCGATAATTTAAAAACAAAAGTACAAATAAAAAATGTTTATTGGAAAAAATGTGTTAGCCTTATAACGTGGACCATTTTAAGTAGAAACACCCTGTATATACATGGTGATTTAAATTATAAAATAGAATTTTTTAATTATTATAAACTGCTGACATTTTATTTTTTAACACCCTGTATTTCCAAAGAAACGCGTTGGGATACTTGTATTTAAAAATTACCTCCATGTTGTACCAGAACACCCTATACATTTAAAATGATTTTTTATCTGAAACATTAACAAAATGTTAATTTTTAAAACATTCATATTTTGTGAAGTTTACTACACAGCTTGTCCCAAAATAAAAATAATAATACAAAATAAAATTATTTTGTTTTTAAAATTAAATTTTATTTTAATGTTTTTACAATGCTACGTTTTAAAAATAAAAAGTTAATACGCCATTTTTGAGATACCCTGTATAACCAAATAATATTACTAATCCTATAACTGCGTCGAACAGTTTTATTTCTATACAAATATTGGCAAAAAACTTCTACTATATTCAATAAAATTTACATTTGTTTTTAAAATCAAATATTATTTTTTTAATACTGCAGTATTTTAAATTGAGGCAATATTTTATAACTTGTTGAAAAATAAATTGATTTTTTAACTACATTATCTGTGACTCAATAATTGAAATTTAAAATGCCAATTTCTTTAAAATTATCATAACAAATACCAGTATTTAAAAGTACTTAAAACATAAAACAATAATTATATAATTATAGTTATTTAAACCTCAATAAATCTGCAAATTTTTTTGTTCGAAGTTCAAACCCATAAAAACAATAAAACACAACATAATTCAAATATTCTTTTATTGACAACAAAAGACATAAAAATATGTCAAAAAAATAAATACACACAAAATCTAAAATAACCTTTATAAAAGATTATACAATATATCACTAACTTTTATTGCTATAACAACTATATACAAATAAAGGTTAACAATTAAAACCATATTTATCATCAGATACTCATTAGTTACAATTATCCGAATAGGAAATATGGTTCAAAAAACGTAATGGCTCTTCGTTGCTTAATTATTTATTATATATATTATATCAATTTGAAAATAAATATATAACACTTAAAATGTATTATTTAAATACACTATGGAAATATTTACATGAGTTATTTTTAACATTTAGTTTCACTATAGTAATTCTATACAAGTTTATAGAGAACACATTTTTTTAATTTTAATAAATTTACATGCAAAAAATATCTAATTTTAACAAAAATAATTGCTACATACTTAGCGATAATATACATATATTTCTGATGGCACCAAGTGTTAACAATTAATATACTTGATATATTCATTAAATAATTTATTAATCACGCTTCAATTCGTATTATTGTTCGAAAATAGATGTGCACTGCTACGAGGGTCGTTTAAGGAGTCTCGTAACGAAACATAGATGTCGCTAGTATGTAGAGACATCTATGTTTCAAAGCGGGAACGACTTTGTGTCAAAAATTAATTATATTTAATCAGTCACATATCACAAATATGGTGTTTCTATTAACTAGCTGAAAGAGCAACGATATGAAGAGTTAATACTTTTTATTTGATTTTTTTTTCGGATATCAGTTTATGATGTATGTTTTTTATTAAGCGTAAATGTTATGAAGTCGGTGTACGTAATATGATGAAATTTTAGGTAGGTAACAAGAAACGGAATGTGTTATAAATATAGAGAGCATTTTAGATAGAATTTCTATCACAGACAATAAGAAAACAGTGCGCTGCCTCATTTATTTATTTCATAAAAAAATAAGTCTAAATATTTATATTCTCATTTATGTACTTTAAGTATTGGCAGTAATTAAATTAACTTCCCTGAACTCGGTTGTACTCGTTTTTTGTTTATTGTTTTAGTAGACTATTTTAACTAAGTAACTAAATTATGCTAAAATGCATTCTCTAATTCTCTAGCAGACTAGATCGCAACCAGGAACTTAAAACGATTTACTTAATTTTATTAGTATTTAGTTCAGGACAAACAACCATCATACGTGTTGTTGTTTTGTGTATTTTATGACGTCAGGCAATAAATATGTGATGCGGGGGTCTTCAGAGAAGTTATCGCTCTGAAACATAGATGTCGCTTTTATATTTTTGATGAAAACCCATAGATGGCGTTCTACGAAGTTTCAGATGAGAGTATATATAAGAACGGACTCTATTTCAGACGTATAGGTAGATTGTGGATTGTAATCGAGTGAATACTGAATGATAAAATCGATTTTACCAATTTTTCAGTACTCACTCGATTACAATCAGCAACTGAACTGTCAAACAACGTAGAATCAAAAACAACAACCTCTATTTCAAGCCAAAAATTCTCCGAACAACCTCCTTACCGATATTCACTTGCATTTTGCTAATCTTGCCAATATAATTTGTTAGGTACCCAATACAATTTTAATCGGGCGAGAGTAACAACGCGTCGCACCTGAGAGAGAGACAGCAGCACACAAAAAATGTTACGTTAAGAAAACACAGGATTTCATCTCTTTGCTTTCGTGGGGGCCAAGCAAATGTACCCCGCTCGGATGTCGAATCCGCTTACCAGAAGGTTCATTAGCACACTGTCACTGGGCTGAGATATGCACGCGGCCTTTTGCCCGCCCGAATCCAGCAACCAGTTGCTCTTGCCTTTCGGCCTGCCTCTGTGGTGGTTGTTGGACATGAGTTGCTGAAGGAGTTCCGAGGACATTTTTTCCTTGGGCTCGTTTTTGACCCGCTTGTTGGACATATCGTACTCTGCGGTGTTGGAGCGTTTGCAACTAGTCGTCCTGTCCATTCTGTTGTTCTGCTTGACGTTTTTTATCGACCATCTCGAGGAATCTACAAGGGAACACATTAATGTTTGCGAAACAACCAAATAAAAGTCTTGGTACTTTTTTCGTTTAATATCTCATCTATGCTGGTTAATCCTCCATCTTTCGGGGTTAAAGAATGCTTGTTCACTGAGGAGGATAAGAGTTGGGCGAGGCTCGAATTTGTTACCGGTATGCTCTTGTCTCTGTCGTTGCTGTTCCACATAAGATCGTCCGACATTAGCAACGGCAAATCTTCGGCCAAATTCATAGGAATATACGGAGCCTTCAACGCCAACTCATCATCCTCAACCTGTAAGTTCATGAAGGTGGACATCTGATCCTCATCTCCCAAAGAGTCAGTCGGGCTGTTCAACGACGGCAAACTGCTGTCTGAATTCTAAAAAAACAACATTACAACAACCATCACTATACATAATCAAACAATCAAACCTTTGACATGTTTGGCGATAGCAATTCGGGCGTAGATGACTCGTGGTAGTCTCTATAAGCAATAAAAGGATCTGAGGGCTCTTCCGACAAAAGGGGCCCAAAATTATTGCCCAGAAAGTCGTCCAACATTTCCGATAAAAAGGGATTGTCGTCGGTAAGCGGAATGCAAACGTCACCGGCCACTGGAGCCAAGTGAGTCAAGTCGTCAGGCTCGTCTTTTAGCACTAAAACAATGGTGTTCAATTACTACAATAAAATCAATATAATACAAAAACATCTAAACACATGTATGAACCATTTTTTAATGTAATACAAACAAAAACTATTCTTATCAATATGACTTCATTAAATTTTAATTCAAACGCTAACATTTGCGTAACAAGTCAATATTTATTCATGAGGCTTTTCAAATAATTCCATTTTTATCGCAGACATTACATTTACTTTCGTTGATGCGTTACAACGAGGAATGTTAACATCTTAATTTCCTTTTTGGTGGATGATTTTTAATTTCCTTTGGGATTCCAAAATCCTTTTAAGGAAGCAGTCGGTAACGGTTTATCAACCAGTATTACCAGTTGGGCTGCAGCAACATTCATTTACGAAATAAATTAAATCTGCCAGTGGAGCACAATGTTATTTAATTTATTTGTAGTTTAAACTTAAATTAGAAGGCTAGGTCAGGGATCGAGTTTGTAACACTGTATTATGATTGACAGGTGGAGAAAATGGTTTCCTCATTTAGTTATAAAGGTACCCGCATCCCATAACAAACAAATAGATGTGGGTACACATTTAATGTGCATAGATTTTCTGGGTAAACAAAATAAATCATGTGGACTCAAAGTCAAGGTAACTAATCAGCTGACGTTCATTGTAGATATAAAATAAAAAGCTCACACATTGCTCGGATAAATTTAGAATCCAGATGTACGTTGATTTTTGTTGGCCAAATTATAAAATTAAAACGCGTTACGTAGGAAACTTTTTGGAATGCGCACGATGCAATTTACTTAATAAATTACTCTAATTTATTTGTTGGATTTTAACTGATACTTATGGCTAATTGTAATTAACTTTAATTGTGACACCAGTTATTTTATTAAAAAATGTAAAACAATATTGACGTTTTATAATTACCGCAAACCACAAAGGTGGTTTTCGTCACAACACTTTAATTATGAAAATTGCATAATGGAATTTACGTTGTTCACTCAAGGCCAACACAGACGAGCTGATTTTTTTACGCTTAATTAAGAGATAACTATGAATCTGTTATCACATTGTAAATAATTAATAAGCTATGTAAAGCAAGTCAAATAAAATTGTTGAAAAATGTCCAAAACTAATTTCGTTTTAAAGGAATTTTGTTTACATACACAGCTTTATAAAATGGAACTGAATTTTTCATGTTTAAAAATTTTGTAAGCGTTATCACGTATTACATAAACCCCTCATCATTTTTATTGAATTTACTATCCGCGATAATCTTTAATGCCATCAGAGTTCAAATAAACAAACTTAATGTAATGTAAAATATACAGGGTGTCAAGATTAACGCGCAATACTTTAACAGAAGATTCCACGTAAAAAACTAAGAAAAAAACTTGAAGATGGTGTTTATTTAATATCTACGAAACCGTTCAAGATGAAAACGGGAAATTTTGGGAATTGATCAAACTTTTTATGGCCCAGGATTTGATGTCAGATTATTTTATTTTGGAGGTTTACACACTAAATAGGTCCTCTTGTTGAACTTCGATAATATTTACCATTTTTGCTTCAAATCGAATGGAAAATTACCTTACATAGCATAAAAATTCATAATGAAATCAAAACTAGAGAAAAATATATATTATTGGAACTTTTTTTCCCATTTGTGTACGTAGAATGTGCCGTATTGCACGCTAATTATGAGAAATAAAGAAAAGGTTTTAATTAGATTCTAATAGAGTCTAATCAAGAGTGAGAAATTTACATAAGATGAGGAAGATTTAATGGATTTAGAGGGTTGAAATATTGAAGTTACGTATTGGAAGAATCTAGATCGATCCGGTTAAGTTATAAACAAAAACCTAACCTCAAATGTGTGTAGATGTTTGATCATCAGAATAGAAAAAATGGTACTTACTGGTAAGTCCTGGTTCATCTTCTGAGAACGTGAGGAATCCTTTGCTCATATCCTCGGTTCTGGGTGCGAAAATCTTGGTTGTGGCCGTTGCGGGCCGGTTAGCCGGATTTAAGGTAGCGAACGGTGCCGTTGGCACGTAATCGGAGAACAGTTTTGATGTTACGGTAACGGGTTTGACAAATTCGGTTACCGGTTGCACTTTGGTGGCGGTTTGGTTGTCGTGTGGCGGTTCGACGGTCACTATCGGTAAAACTAGTACTTTTTCTTCGCACAATGTCGTCGAATTTAGTGAGTATTGCTGCGATGCTGAATAAATTTCATCTTTGCATTCCACACCACTGAAATATAAATGAACTTGCTGGGAACGGTTCGGTAAATGACCAGTTTCCAAGTCAAACACTTTTGACGCACCGACGCGCGGATTTCGGCGATGTACGGCACTCTTGACGCAAAATATCACAGCGGGATCGCGATCTGGATTAGAATGAGCCAAGTCGACGCGAGTCGGTCGTATTTAGAATGTCGTTCTTATCAGCGATATCGGCACGCAGATAGGCTCGAAACTGATTTTGTTCTGGTGGAGCCTACGATGCGGGAGTCGCGTGGTCGCGAGCCCCCCCTTCTCCGCCGCTAAGGCAGAGGCTCGGTCCTAGACCACGTGACCGCGGAAAAGGACGGGGGACCTGGTGCGAAGGAAACGGACCTCGAGCACGTGATAGGCGTCTCGTTCCCTTCGTGCCGTCGCAGTAGGCGATGGGATTTTGCACAATCGCGCGTGATTACGTGATAAAAACGTTTCGTTGTTTGCGTGGATAGTTTTTTCTTAGACCGAATAGCAACAATAAACTATCTGTTATGTTGATGACCAGTTTTTAAAATTAAATTTCATTTATTTATAATGCTGCCTTATTCAAATGGTTTTTTTCCATAACCACTGCATGCAATTATACAGGGTGTCCCATAATTATAATTAGCGTGCAATACTAATAACAGCAGATTGTACGTACAAAAATAAGAAAAAAAGTTCCTATAAACATAGGCCGAGAAATGCTTCTCAAGGGAACTACAGCCCCTAAATGAGAAGCCCCTGAAGATGGTTTTTATTTAATATATCCAAAACCGTTCAAGGTAGAAAAGTAAAATTTTAGGAATTAATCAAACTTTTTATGGCCAATAAGATGAGGGGTGGGTCAGATAGATAGGGAATAGGGTGCTAGGATTTGATGTCAGATTATGAAATTTCGGAATTTTACCCACAAAAAAGGTCCTCTTGTTAAATCCATTTAAAAATTACCTTACATAGCATAAAAGATCATAATGAATTCACAAGAGAGAAAAATTCATCTTTTCATGTAATATGTGACAGGGTGTTTAAAAATTGTCCATGGCCATGTTTAAAAATTGTCAATGGCCTACGCTGAATCTTTTTTTCAAGTTGTGATTTCATTATGAATTTTTATGCTATGTAAGGTAAGTTTTAAATCGATTTTAAGCGAAAACGGTGCATGCTATCGAAGTTCATCAAGAGGACCTTTTTTGTGTGTAAAAATCTGAAATTTTATGATCTGATATCAAATTATAGTACAAGATACCTACAAAAAAGTTAGGGTAGTTTTACCCCAACTTCCTTTCTATTTTACCCACCCCTTATGAAATTTTGAATTTGTTATTATTCCAACTTATTGGCTATAAAAAGTTTGATTATATCCCAAAATTTCACTTTCCTATCTTAAACAGTTTTGGATATATTAAATAAAAACCATCTTCAGGGGCTCCTCTTTTTTTTTTTCCTTATTTTTGTACGTAGAATCTGCTGTTAAAGTATTGCACGCTAATTATGGGACACCCTATATATAGATTGATGATCTTATGATAGCAGTTGCTGTTTTTTGTTTAAATAAAATGCAAACCTTGCAATATTTTTTTTAAATTAAAATAATGCTACTTTTTTAAAATTTGTATATTTTCCAAAAAAGACAATTTTTCCAAGGCCCGAAAAAAAAACGAAAAAACAGTCTTCCCCAAATTTTTCCGTTTTTTTGCAACACTTTAAAACACTAATAACACCAGAAAGAATTGCATTTTATTTAAGAAACGAACAAGATTTAAAGAAAATAAATATTTTTCATTTTATTTACAAAAAAAACTTAAACAAAATAGTATCAAGTTTAATAAACACCATTTTAGTCACGAATTGAATTTAGGCACGAGCGAGTGCTTAATTAAATGAGTGTCTAGAAAAGTTTATAAACGAGTTGCATACTATACTTTATCTACGACGAAAACAAGACAGAATTTAAAGACAATTTTAAAATCTGTCAACTGTCACCCGAATTTAACCTAACATTTACCCAACTTTTAAAAATGCCCGTGACTAAAAAGGAGTAGATAATAGTATTTTATGAATCAAATTTGATAAACGCCATTTTGAACACGAATTTAATTTAGGCACAAGCGAGCTTGTGAGCGAGTGCTTAATTAAATGAGTGCCTAGAAAAGTTTATAAACGAGTTGCATACTATACTTTTTCTACGACAAATACTTAATATAATCTAAAAAAAATAGTTAAATTAAATATTTGTATACGAAAATAAAGTAACCATCCCAATAAACATTTTTAAAGTAATTTTCACCATTTACATTGCCCGTTATTATTTTAATTAAACTAAACAATTATTGATACTTTATAATATTAAAATAACTTCAAAATATGATTATTACGAAAATATTTTATCCTTTGATTTTTGTATTACTATAATTGCAAAATATTATCACAAAGTATTTAAAATTCTTGCATGGGAAATGTTAAAGGTACAAAAAGTCAATCAAAATGTATCCCTTGAAAATAGACAATCAATATAAAAGCAGTTTTTCACAGTAAAATAGAAGAGACTGTTTTATGGACACTGTACGCAAAACTTTTAATGCTTTATCAGTTAAATCTAGTTAACTGCACTAATACGGCGAAATCAAAAGGTTTTCAAATATTGGCGCCAAGAAAATATCTAATAAATTTGTATTTTTGTATTGAGATAATAAAATAATTTTCACTTTTATTATTACTTTACAAGGAAGGCACTTTATTTTAACGATTGTACGACATTTCAGAACTGAAAAAATCAATTAAGTTCGTTCATATTGTTCTTGCAACCGGATAAATAAACTGAGGCTCTATTAGCTGAAATAAAAACTTAATGGAAGCTACAGTTGGTGACGTCAAATCTTAACTAATATGATGTCATAACAATTTATCTCCCCTCATCGTAATATAATGCAGATGAAGCGAACTATATGTGTAATTTAATTTTATGTATTGGATTTCCATGCCTTTAATCAGCCTATTAATTACTAATTTCGATATAATTATTTTGAGAGCAATAACGATGATGGAAATAATAAGAGCGTTATAACGGCCATAGTCTAATTAGGTGATTAAATTACCATACATTTAAAATGAGTAATGAAATTTCTTATGAAAAAAGTAATGGTATTTATTACTATTATTAGTATCGATATAATAAATTGGTGCCTACGAAATGCAAGCAAAATGATTTGTATTTAAATAAATTTACATAAACAAAAACAGAATAGTTCCATTCCCTTGACACCACGAGGTCAATATCTAGTTTCTAGTTTAAAAAAAATATATATAAGATAATTTTTGCGTGGGTACAGATAATAATTTGTAATAATAATAATGATAACGTGAATAGTCACGAAAAACACTTTTTTTCACACGACAAAGCAAAGTGATATTTTATTACCACTTCTATACACTTAACCTTACACAAGGATTTTAGTGTTGCGAAACCCGTTCTTCTTGTTTAGATAATTGCGATCCAAAATTAACATTTGCGTAATTTTTCGGGCATTACATTAAAAATTAGGAATTAATTGCGAATATCGATATTTATGATCCAATTAAATTGAAAATAGCGAAATATTAATATATCATGACCTATATTTTGGAAAAATTATATCTAAGAGATAAAATTATTGTAAATATTTACTGGAGATCAAATGTACTTAGGTATGTTTAACACTATTTTACATTTGTATAAAACAAATTGAAATAATAAATATGTGTTAAATTTCTATTTTTAAAATAAACAGATGTTTCAGCTTCTTTTTAGGCAGGTTTTATCGCCAATTATTTGAATTAAAAAACACAATATGAAGTAAAAATGAGTGTAATTATTGTCACTCCGACCTGTAATTTACATGACAAATTAGTATTAGAATTAGTATTCATGGCGCTGCTTTGTAATTTATTCATCAATTTAAGCGCAAGGTAAAGCTGTCATCTATCATAAAAAAATTACGTTTCAGACGGTCTAATTGTTTTTAATTAAGCCAAAGCGCCATCAAACTATAAACAAGTTAAAAAAGAAACAAGCGTGATGAATTTAATCTGAATTAATAAAGCTATATCTGAACACAGAAAAAAATCTATTTGGCGCAGTCTTCCAAAAATAATCCATTTTATTCGATTGTTTCTTGTTTTAAAGATATTGCAAAAAAGTACTTCGTTGAATTTTGATAAAAATCACAAAATGTCATATAGTTAAATTTAATATACAGGGTAGACCAAGTATCCTAAGTATGGATATCTTTTTTATTTAAATAATTTATTTAACGCATTAATCTTTCTTAATAATTTGTTACTGAACAACAGGTAAATCGAAGAATAATATTTTTTTCAGAGACAATATGGACAATATGAACAATGTGGACAGTGTGGAAAACCAACCCTCTGTCCTAAAAAATAAATCTGAATAGGTATAGACGCGTCTAAGAAAAAATATTTTTAATATGGTAAAGAAACATATCGATAAAGGAAAATCAAAAAGAGTCAGGTAACATTACCATCCGAAGAAACTGGTATTTCAAAAAATACTTGAATAAAGAGTATTTTACAAAAATTTGAAGAAAATAGTATTATTGCGATAGACATCATTCTGTTAAAATAAAAAAAGTCAGTAGCATGGAGAAAAAGGAGGAGGGTTCCTGTTAATGATAAAATGTTAATGATTTAACTTTTAATTTGGCAAATACGTAATTATAAATCTAAAATTTAAAAAAATATTATAAGGGAATATTATTACCTATAGGTTTATAATTATAATTACTATAGTATACGTATACGTATAGTATAAGTATAGTATAGTATACGTATAGTATAAGTGTAGTATAAGAACTTTTATTTTTTTTTTCTCTTTAATTTTTACTTAATTCTATCTTATGTAACTAATTTTGTGTTATACTGCATATTGTGTAAAAAATTTATATCCTTTATGTAGACTTTGTCTGTTGGATTAATAAACTATTATTATTATTA